ATTGCGAAGACGGATGATGTCGAGTTCACACCGAGTCTTATAGTTGAGTGCAGATCTGCATGAGTCACCTATTTCTATTTTATCAGGCTTTATTATATCCTGAGCGAATGAAAATTTTCTCCTTGTTAATAACTTTTAATTTTTCACTGCTCACATTCCATTAAGTTTTCTTTCTTTTCATGTCAAATCCACTCTACTTGCAGAAATTCGGCGTAGGAGTTGCGATCTTTTAATTGTTTTATTTTCTTAATTTCTTAACCAGATCATTTTCCATCCATTTCATATGATTAGGATTCTTAGGTTGGTCTCATCAGAAAACGAACCAAGCTTCCCTTGGTATTGTGAATGCCAATTTGACCTAGCGGAAACTATGCTTATCTCGGACTCGTCATATAATACTCTAGTCTCGGAGGCACCCAATTCACGAATACCTCTAACTAAATTTTCTGAAAAGGGTAATTGTTATTCAATATTCTCTGGTATGCAATAATAAATGCTTTGGCTATTCCTAAAAGGATAACCTTCCAGCCAGTTAGTCATTAAATCGGCCACATTCTTTTCATGTATCCATTTTCTCCATTCTCCTTTATTACCTTTTTATTCAATTCGCATAGGCCTGTATCACTTCCATTGGAACAGATGGATCTGTCTCTGTTTATAGTCTTCGTGAGTCTGCCCTCCTCTTGCGTGCCTCACATCCAAACATATCTTCTGAAAATGCAGTGCTCGCACTCGGCTGGAGGATACCAGAAGATTTATTGCTTGTTTACTTCGTGGATGGCAGCCTCTTTGTTTGGGATGTCAGTTTTGGAGTGCTGGATAGGTAGGCCTACCTAAGCTTTCGGGATTGAATATCACGGTTTATTTATGTTTTTTTGGCTAATTTGTTAGGAATGTTCAACTCTTATGTATTCTGAGGCATGACAATTCTCTTCCTTATATCATCATTCTTTACCTTATGTGAACTCACAAGTTTGTCGCTTCATTAGGCGTCACATCATGCATTGAAAAGTGATTGCTTATTTTTTTCTCAAATTTCTTGGTTTAATTAACTCTCCCCTATTACCTAGCATTTATGTGTATCTTTTTATCCAATTTACTCACTATAAATCCATTAATTTGTCACCTAAGATGCCAATGAATTTTGAGGTTTCTTGCACAAGTCTTAAGTTGATAAATTCGAATATCCATTATTATAGCCTCATTTGAAAAACTTGTGCATCTACCCTTAGCATTATGACCTAACCTATTCTGTTTTAACCACTCATTAGATTGAAAGTATAAGACCAAGATGGTGTGGCCTTTTTTGTGGTCGCAGTCTCCTTCCGTAGTATAGAAATTAATTTCTATACCACTCATAAGATTGCTGACTGAATATTGTGCTTTCATTGTAGTCTACTATATTCGAAAATTTCTGGACGGACTTTCACTTCAGGTTAGAGCTGTAGGTCGATCGCCCGAATAGCCATGGCCGATTCCCCTTAATTCGCTGTTTTCTACTCCTACTGAGATATCATTAAATCAGGAACTAAATTACTAGTTATATAATAGGTGTATAAATATTATTAAGCAATCAAAGAGTACTATCAAGTTTATACCTGATTCAAATTTGTATCTGTTTTGGTA